ATAAGGCATCTGTGCATTTTCTGAGGACAAAATAGGGAAAATGTAAGAGTGTTTTGGCAGGCAAAGGGAGACAGTGATACTTTCATAAAAGATTACCAGAAAGTAGACATTCTCTGGGCCTTTATTTTCCTTAACTGCAGAAGGACCTAGCTCTAGAATAGGCACCTTCAATAATGGCTAGAGCCACAAACATCCCTGACTTGATTGCTGGTGTTTTCTTATTAAGTTGGGTGCACATTTCCAATAGTTGTCTTTATTTTTTTTTAATTATTTTTAGATAGTTTCCTTTTCTATTATGATTAAAAATAAATCCGAGGACTGAGAGACAGAATATACAGTTGGACAACAGAGAGACCCTGTAGAGAAACAGAATTTTTACCCACAATCTGCAGCAACCTGCTCCCTAAATCAACACCCTATCTGCAATAAACAACTCAGGAGTCCAGCCTGCTATATACATCCAACTTGCAGGAGGGCAGATTGCTATCTCTAGTGATAAATCTGGAAGGTACAGCAACTTCTGTAACAATTGCCCCCAAATGGCCAAGATTTAATAATTGGCAGGTGCCCTTTGCCTGGCTTCCAACTTAAAGTCAACTGGAGAGGGCCAAACACACGCCTCCAGTCAATCTCTGCACATGTCCTGTTTCTAGTGAGCCCCCTCCAGCTCCCTCAGGCCAACAGTCCAATCCCAGCACACCTGAGCCTTCCCTTTTATTGACTATAAAGCTTGTTGACTCCTCTGCCCACCTGCCTTTGAGTCTCTGCCCAAATGCAAGTGATAGTGGCTGATGCCTTTGCTCAGAATAAATGTTTGCTTTTCTCATTTGGTCTTTATTTCCACAGCCCCCTGGTTTAAATAGGCTTTGTGGGCTAATTGGTTTTCAAATCATCCCAACTAGCATTGATTCATTTCTTTACTGAGGAAACATTTACTAAAAGCTTTAATATGGCCCATATTCACTGCCAGGAACAGGGGCAAATGAAATAAGATATAGTCCCTAACCTAGAGGGCAAATAAGGAGGTGAACAGAATGACTTGGCAGCCAAGGCACTGGGCATTTGTATGTCAGGGCAGTGTTTTTAAAAAAGTGTACACTTTGCTTGGCGCCTGTAGTTCAGTGGTTATGGCATCAGCCACATGCACCAGGGCTGGTGAGTTTGAACCTAGCCTAGGCTTGCTAAACAACGACAACAACAACAAAAACAGCCGGTGTTCTGGCAGGCACCTGTAGTCCCAGCTACTTGGGAGGCCGAGGCAAGAGAATCGCTTAAGCCCAAGAGTTTGAGGTTGCTGTGAGCTGTGACACCACAGAACTCTACCAAGGGCAATATAGTGTGACTGTCTCAAAAAAAAAAAAAAAAAGAAAAAGTGGTACACTAACTACTGGTTACATGAGGTAACTTCAAGGAATTTGTAGATGAACCTTTTTAGTTTAATAGCTACACACTTGAACGCAGATTAGAAAAATGGGCATTTCAAGCTCACTGAGCCTTTGACTCCACCTATGCTATGGCTTTAGGATGTCTTTATTGGTGAAAATCTAGTCAGGAGATAAAAAACACTCTTTTTTAACAGACGAAATTAAATGCAAAGAATTGTTAATTGGGTATTAAAGAACTACAAAGGGCAAAACTAGAACACTAGTATTATGTTTGGAAGCTGCTACGCCTGGGGAGGAAGTTGGAATTCTTAAATTTTAGAAACTTGGAGGGGCCCTAAAGAGATGAAACTTAGACTTCTGACACGGAGTTGCTGCTCAGTTAATAGCAGTGTCTCTGAGCTGAGTGGGGGCTCTGTGGGCCACGGCACCAGACCAGTGATCTTCATTCAACCAGTGTGCTGTGAAATCTTTAAAAATCACTATTTTAATTATTTTTGAAAGAAGTTCACCATTCTGAGGGCTGTCTGCTTGCCTTACTGTGTTCTTGGCTGTGCAGAAGCTCTTTAGTTTGATCAGGTCCCAGTAGTGTATTTTTGATGTTGCTTCAATTGCCCGGGGTGTCCTCTTCATAAAATGTTTGCCCAGGCTGATTTCTTCAAGTGTTTTCCCTACATTTTCTTCTAGAATTTTTATGGTTTCATGTCTTAAGTTTAAATCTTTAATCCAGTGAGACTCTAACTTAGTTAATGGTGAAAGGTGTGTGGGTCCAGTTTCAGTCTTCTACAGGTTGCCAGCCAGTTCGCCCAGCACCATTTGTTAAATAGGGAATCTTTTCCGCACTCAATGTGTTTTGGATTGTGTGTGAAAACACCACACTGTACCCCAGAAGTGCATTAATGTACATAGTTACCATTCAATAAAAAGGAAAAAAAAAGTAAGTTCATGGTATTTTTTTTTTTTACTCTTTTTTTGATCAACATCATTTAAGTGTGCCGCAGAAGTTTAACTATAGGTTCGAGTGCATTGTGAGATAAAAAAGGTGGAAAAACACTGTCCCAGGGAGATGTGTTGGGAGTGGGTGTTGGGATGCTGGTCCTGGTCTTGTCTCTGAGGAGCTGCTATGGGGCTGTTTCCATGAGTGTTGGGAAAACCGTAAACTGATGTTAATAACAGTTCCTGGGACACCAGCCTCTAAAGCAAAGAGGTGGTGACAGGACCAAGCCCCTTTCTCCCTCTCTAGTCTTGTCTTCTCCTTCTGGTCCGCCATTGGCAGAGCTCAATACAGAGCCAGCTGGCCCAGGAGAAATGGGTTTGCTTAGTCTCAGCCTAGAGCGGAAAGCTGAGTATAGAGGGCAACTTTGAATCTGAGAAGCAACACTTAGTGTCTGGGCCAGCTGTCCCTTGGGACATTCAGTGTCCACCCAGTGTACATCTATACATGAACTTCCCGCTGTGAGAAAAGAGCAACTCTGAATTTCTACTTAAAGCACAAACAGCCTTTGTACAAAAGACATCCTCACCTGTTCTCCAAAATGACGAGAGACACCAAGTCCTAGCAGACACTAGCTCCATTAATTTCACCTAAAATTAAGTTACAGACCCACCAAAAGATTCTTATCTCAAGACTAACTTGCAAAATTAACTCCCTAAGAAAACATAAAATTATAAGAGGAAGGAGGCAGAAGAGATTAGTATACAGACTCCGTGGATACACACACATGAAGAAAGAAAATAGTCATCCCAGAGTATCTGAGGGGTTTGTTTCCAGTACCTCCTGTGATACCAAAGTCCCCAGATGCTCCAGTCCCTGACATAAAATGGCTTATCTGTGT